TCCTTCCTTCCTTCCTTCCTTCCTTCCTTCCTTCCTTCCTTCCTTCCCTTTCTTTCCCTTCCCTCCCCGCCTCTTCCTTCCCTTCCCTGCCCTTACATGTAACGGTATCAAATTCCCTGGAACTGGAGTTTCAGACAGCTGTGAGCTGCCATCTGGGTGCTAGGAATTGAACCCACCCACCCCCACCATACACCCCGCCCCAAGTCCTGTGGAAGAGCAGCCAGTGCTCTTAACCACTGGGCCATCTCCCCCACCACCACCATTCAAGGCTGAGGACTTAGTAAATATCAGGTCTGCCTTGACCTACTTTGAAAGGGTGTAAAGAGGAATGGTGTTTGTGGCACATACCTGTAATTCCAGAAATCAGAGGGAAAGGGAAGGTGCGCAAGGCCAACCTGGGATGTGCAGAGAGAACGTGTCCCCAAAACAATGAGAAGGACCTGTTAAATCCCAACATCAAGAATAAGACCACTACCACAATTTGAGCCAAATTTGAAGCAAACTTGATTTTTTTATTGGGATGCACCCAAGGGCTGGCCAGGGACTGTCTCCTAAATCGGGTTAAAGAGAGCAGCCCCAAATCCATCTTTGGGCCCCACTTAAAAAGAAATGAAATCACGCAGGAGCAGTTTTACCGAAGGGAGACAGTGGGGTAATAAGGAAATACAAAAAAAATCTTTTAAAAAATGTGGTCACCCATCACAGGATTAGAGAGGGGTCATGGAGGATCAGGGAGGTCAAGGGTATTCTCAAAAACAAAGCTAGCTGGGTGTGGTGGCTCACACCTTTAATCCTAGCACTTGAAAAGCTGAGGCAGGTGGATTTCAATGAGCTTGAGGTCAGCCTGTCTACAGAGCGATTTCCAGGACAGCTAGGGCTGTCACATCAAGAAATCCAAACAAAACAAACAAAATCAAGGTCATGGTTTTGGGAAGGTCAAGTTCCAGGACTCAGTTCTCACAGTAAGCAGAAAATGTGTTTTCAGAAATACAGCACAATTACTCCTGCCTTCAAAATGGAGTCGGGCAGGTTCCTCAGGCTCACAAACTGGCTCAGTGGGCAAAGGCTCTTGCCCCAACACCTGACAACCAGAGTTCAAATATCCCAATAATGAGAGGTGAGACCTGACTCCCGGAAGTTGCCCTCTGTGCTCTGCATGCAGGATTTGGGATGGGTGGACCCACGCACATTAATAAACGCACTTACTCGCCACAAGAAGGTGGCGATGGAGAACATCAGGTGAGGGGTCAGACTCTCCCACTTTTTACAACTGAGTTTACGTTGCATCTCTGAGGCCCGAACATTCAGAGTCCAGACAGAGAACAAGCATGGTGGGCTTCAGCCTCACAGTATCTCAAGCACAAACCAGCAGCCCCCTTCTGGGTCACACCAATTTTGTGCAGATGTATGCAAAAATGATAAGACTAAACCTTTAAAGTAACTGCATTAAAGTAACTGCTGGGGAGGGGGAGGGAAAAGGGAGGCGGGGAGGAGGTGGAAATTTTAAATAAATAAATAAATAAATATAATAAAGTAACTGCTGCTTGCCTAACCAATGACATAGCTGACCCTGAAATTCCACTTAGCAAGGCTTAAAAGGAGCCTGCACGTTCCTCTGGGGTCATAACCATTTTGTACAGGTGAACGGCCCCACATGCATGCTGGTATAATAAATGCTTTTTGCTCTTACATACCATTTGAGTCTGGGGTTTTTCTTTAGTGTTTCCTCAGACCCTGCAGAGGTTTGGGGAGGGTATGAGATCCTCAGAGTGGTGTATGCAAGGAAGCATCCCCTAAGAGGTAGACTAAAAATACCCAAGACTGCACAGTGGTAAGGATCAGGATGTCCAGTGATGTCTCCAAGGACTCCTTGGTAGACACACCTCAGAAACATCTATGTTACAGAATATTCTAGAAACCATCATGCATGCAACACAGATGTCCAAATTCAAGTGAAAAATATTTTTTTGGACAGTTGCTTTAGCTGGTTATGTGGCTCAGTTAAAAGTGTATTTTATCAAGCCTAAGCCTTGGGTTTGATCCTCTGCTGTTGGAGCTCCTTCAGCCAATAGCCTTTAAGATATCAGCCCACGTGGGCGTGGTCTCTTATACTACAAAAGCAGCTGTGAAGCATACATTCCCTCTCTTGCTTCTGGCTGCTAGATTTGGTTCCTGCTCCCCATTTGTGCAGAGGACTATGATTGAGGACAGTGATCTGTGAATCTCCCCTAAATAAATAATCCTTTATTATACCTAATTCTGAACTAGTGTGGGATTATTTTGTAACTTCCGTCATCATCTGGTGCCGAACATAAGGATCAGTCCACACTTTTTGGGATCGATTCGCCAGCCCCGTGGCACACTGGGCTTTGATTCTCACTGCTGCTGCTCAGCCCTGGCTCGCAATGCACACGCTGCCTTTCTGTGCCTTACACACCAGCCCACACGCTGCTGCCTGTGATTCCCATAGTGCACAGAGTCCACAATGCGCACTGATGGGAAAACTTTGGGTTTTCACTATATCCTGGGCCCCAACTCTTGGAATCATTTGAGCGCCTTAATAACTGCTCTTAATTTGTTAAATAAAGCATATTTTTCAGTACCTAAGTAAGCAACACGTGCTGTTCACTGTTGCTAGGGTTTCTCAGCCACGCGGCAGCAACTGCAACACCTGCTGACCAATAACAATTATTATACCTACTCCAATTCATTGTCATTGCCTTACGATAAGTAAGATCTGAAAACCTACAAAAATTACATAACTATCCAGGAGTTCAATAATTATGTTACTTATACTATGGAAGGTATTCGGCAAGGTTTATGTAATTTTCCTTCTACATGCCTTTATTTGATTCTAGGAATTACTTTTTTTTCTCAATATTATCTCATTAAAAAAATGAAAAAAAGGGGCTGGAGAAATGGCTCAGCGGTTAAGAGCAGTGGCTGCTCTTCCAGAGGACCCGGGTTCAATTCCCAGCACCCACATGGCAGCTCACAACTGTCTGAAAATCCAGTTCCAGGGAATCTGACACCTTCACACCAATGCACATAAAATAAAGATAAATAAATCATGAAAAAATTAAAAAAAAAATGAAAAAAAATGGTTCAATAACAGGGCCAAGAATGAGGCACTTTTAGAAATAATACAGTCTTTACAGACTAATAATGGACAGCTATTTGAAA